TGTCGGAAAGCTGGGTCCCCGCAGGCGGGGTGCAACCCCCGCCAGCCATGAATTGAGGGCCAGGGCGACGAGGAAGGCCATCAGCATGATGACTCCCAGCGGGTGCCCACGTACCAGGAGGCGCGGAACCTCCCGACGCAGCTCCCCACACCCCTTGAGGCTGCGGCCATGGCTGGTCCATCCTCGGGGTCGAGCGCCAGGCCCAGCAGTTCTTGCACTGCTGCCACCCTTGTTTGTTCTTCTTAAATCCACATGAAACGCACGTCCAAGTGGATCCTGTCGAGTACTCCCAGTGTCCCCAATCGTTCTCGAGAGATCGCGCCGCCCTCCATGGCCAGCTGGCAGCCCTCGCGGGGGCAGAGCGCTGGGCGGGCCCTGGCGGCGCCATGGCGGGAAGAAGCACTGGGAGGAAGGTATCTTGTCAAATCACTTGGCTCGCAGGAACGCGCGCCCTTCTGAAGAACGTCCCTGCAACGCAACTTGGCGCAGAAGGGCTTGAGCCAAAATGGCTTGAGCCAAAATGGCTACGGAGGAGCAGGAGGAGGCGGAGGAGGAGGAGAAGGCGGAGGAGGAGGAGGAGGGAGGAGGAGGAGGAGGAGAAGGAGGATGAGGGAGGAGAAGAAGGAGGAGGAGGAGGTGAAAAGCTACGCTGCACGCATACATGTCTTTTTTGTCCAGGGCTCCCTGTTGGTCTGGGGCCCGCGCGGGCCCTGGTGTGCCCTTCCAGGCCCTGCCAGGGCCTCCCGATGTGGCCCAGTTCTTTCCCATGTCCTCTCCTCGCCTGGTGCCCCGTTCGCCCGTCCTCCGCCGTACCGTCAACCCGCACGGTAAGGATGATCGATTTTCCAAGGCTACCCTTAAGTCGGGCCTGTCCCTCTACAGGAGGGATATTCAAAAATATGAAAAAATAGTCGAGAGACGATGTTTCTAACATTGTTTGACCATTTTAGGGGTATTTTTTCTTTGGGGGGACAGGCCTGTAGGGGGACAGGCCCGACTTAATCCTTGCCCCTTCAGCCCATCCTCAGCGACTTTCACTGGCCAACCTCGCTCAAAAAACGCCAACGTGGCCCTCCAAGGCCCCTGCACCCCTACCGCGCATCCCTGCGATACGGGTTGACTGTGCTGGACCCGGCCTCGAGCCGCATCGGCTTGGAAGCGTCGACCGCCGCGCGATCGACCTCCAGAGGCCGCGCCGCCCCGAGATAGCAGCAGGTCCCCAGCGGGACCCGGCCTCGAGCGGGCCAACATCGTCAACAGCAGGAGGGCTCCCAGGAGCCCAAGATCCGCCAGAGGATCAGAGATCCCATCGTTGCTAGTGCGTCCTTCGCACGAGGGAGGGAGGGAGGCCAAGCTAGGTGCGCCCGCCATATCTGACGTCCTACCCCTCCCGCCCATCCTTTGCCATGACGCAGATCTCTTATCAATTCGCAGTCGGAGGTGAAGGGCTACCATCCGAGTGGAAGGACCACGGCTGACGGAAATGAAAGCAACGCCACAGCGAAAGCATTGCTTGGAGGGGTCGAAACCGCGCTCCCGCCAGATGCGTCCTCGAAGCGACGACGTCCCGAAGTGGGGGGGGGCCTCCCGCGGCCCAAAAAGTCAACGAGTCGACACCCGATATGTAATCGCTTCCAAAGTTTTTTCGGGTGGTCATTTCAAAAGGTGGGGCCGATTTGGAAGGACTGAAGATGCCTGTGCTGCAGCGGGAGCACGAGCAGGGACAACCAGAATCGGGGGTGGATAGACCTCCTACCCTGACACGTCGATTAAGGAATTGGCCGTTTTCGGTTCGCGGGAGGGCCAGGCGGCCGTCATTTTTGCGGGTCCAGGTCCGTCGAGTTCGGTCCCAGGCCGTTTTCATTAAGGGGAGGTTGACTAATGGGAGGTTTGTCGACCGCCGATAGAAGCGCATAAGTGGGGCCAACGCTGCAGCGATAGCGCCATGTTGAAGGACAGGAAAGAGATGGATGTGGTAAAACACATATGAAAGACCAACTCGCCGGAATCCTGTATGTAAAAAACAGTACGCGGAGGGTGCCAGACATCTTGCGGACAGCATCAGGGGAGAGAGGAGAGTAATATTCACATTGAGTAACTATGGGGAGGAGAAGGAGAAGGAGGAGGAGGAGGATGAGGAGGGGGGAGGGAGGGCCGAACAAAAATTCACTCGGACCGATCACCAATCCCTGGACCATCCCAGGCAACATCCTGATCTGCTTTCCGAGCTGCGGCCAGCCGTTGTGTCGAGGGGGGCCCAGAAGGTCCACATGAAGACGAGCAAGAGCCCTCCCCACTCCGGCAACAACTTTCTGAAGGCATTCGATAACCTCCAGACGCGCCCCTTTCCTTTCCCTTTCCCCCCTCCGAACACCTCCCCCCTACTTTCTCCTACCGGAAGTACTGTATGAGTACAATTCCTCATTTTCGTGACAACGTCCCACCGAATACCTGCCCCTCCTAGATAATTGTTCTTCTCGCATTGATGTTGATCATCCTGATCACTATACTCCTGCCACTCTTCCTCCGCCCACTATTTCTTCGTCTTCCTCCCGTTCATCCACCTGCTCGTCCTTCATGGTGCAGAAAGCTCACCCCCTTCCCGATTGCGCAGCAAACGATTGTTCAAATTCTGCAACGACCACTTGCGAACCAAGGTCTTCTAGGACACCACAGTCGGCGGATACAAACGGACTCAACGCAATGGGAAAAGATGGGCGGGAGCTGCAGGATTTCAGGTTTGGCGAGCACTCCTGGTTTGCTCCATTCCTCTTTACTCCTCCTCCGCATTCTCACTCTGTCCCTCTTGTCTCCCTCCTCCCTCCGTTACTGGGCAGCTACTCAAACTAAGTATGTCTCTTCTCTCCCCCCAGGTTATGTCTGTATCTCCCTCCGCCAATCCCAAGGCTGCCCAACGGTGATGTTCGACATTGCTTTTCCCAATCAGGACGGTTCAGGCCCATGAGCAATTTTGTTATGGTTGCAGTGTTGGTCACATTCAGAGGTTCTGTATAGGGCACCCGCCCCACGGAACGCCGCTCTCGCCTCGAGGCTGGTCGTATGGTTGCATCGGTAGGGGTGATGTTCCTTCTGAAGATTCGCCACGTGTCGGAATTCCCAGTCAGTTGTCGTCCAACGGAAGTCGCACCGCAGCGCTGGCCGCTCTCGTGTGCAGGTACCGCTTTACAGAGCCTCCGCACCACGGAGCGACTCCCTCGCCGCCACGTTGCCCGTACTATTGCACGGGCAAGCGTGACTTCCCCGCTGCAGCGTCTGCTCGTTTCAGGACACGAGGCCCTTTCGGGATCTGGGCCTTCTTCTTCTTTCGACACTGCCCACTCCGCCGTCACCACACATCCCAACCTGGAAAGACCAACCAGGAAATCCACAGGGGAACCAGGAAACCGGTGGGCGAACGGGGGCATTTTCCTGAGTCGAACGGAGATTTGTTTTACAGGAAATGGGAAGAACCGAAGATGTCGAACAAGGAAATGTTCCTCGCCGAGTGGGGACGTTTGTTCCCGGTGAGGGTCTTGGTCATTACAAGGCGCTCAGCCGCCTTGTGCAATCCAGCATTATGTTTTTTTTTGTTTCTGGAGCGGCTTCAGTTGTTACCTGTGTCTTGCCAGGGTGCAGAGCATGCTGCTTCGCGTGAATTTGATGCCGATGAACGGAAGGCGAGTCGAATCCTCGGGGGATCAGTCTTGCGAGCTGACGCAGCAGCTATGATGCTTCTTTTCGGGTCGTGGGCTAGCTTATGTTGTCAACCCATGCCCATCTCGCCCCGTCTCCAGGGATCCGCATCTCCGTATGATGGTGGGATGGGGAGACGGTCCGCCGCCCCCTGCGCTGCACGTACTGCGCAGGGTTAGTGGGGATCTGAGTTCATTTCTACGAGGAAGTTCACCGTATCTCCCCTTTGCCTTCCTACTCCTGGTCCTGTCAGCGATGGCCCGGTCTTGCACGGGTGTCCAAAAGCAGGGCATTGGGCGCGTCAGGCATTTTTCAGGCAAAGTGTTCCAGGGAACTAAAGCTATATCAACACATTATGTTGGAATCCTGTGTTGCCCCAGTGGTCCCGACCACTTCCCATGGCCCAATCTTTCGCCGTGGACCGTTTCTGACGGCCCTGGTGCCCCGTGACGGGCCGCGGAGTCCGAAACCGAGGACTAATGCCCGAGCCAAGATAATACAGTTGCGCTGCCTCGCAGTTCTTGGACCCGCGTTGGACCACTTTCCCCTGGCGCGCCGAGTGCGCCAGGGGGGAGCGCCAGAGGCGCCGCCAAGGGTGTCTAGCGCCATTCCAAGAAATTCGCGCGGACCTCCGAAGGGTTATGTTTATTCAGTGCTGTTTTTCCTGCATGTTCTTTGTTCTCTCTCCCCTCAAGCCTTTCTCCAAAGTGCTCAGCTCAAGATGCCATCTAGTAAACGCGACGCGTTACAGGGTACTTAGGCCCCCTTCGTCAGGCATGGGCCCACCTGACTGTCGCGCGGCGCACGCACACCAAACACGCGTGCACGCAGAGGCAGCATGCGAATGCGACTGGTGGCACAACCGGGAGCCCGAGAACCAGCTTCTGTGTAGTTCCGCTTCGGGCGTGGCGCAAACGGGAGAGGAGGAGGGTGCGATGAAGGGCCCAAGAAGCCCCAGACGGCGGCCCCGAAGGGCCCCCCACAGGGGCACGAAAGGTGCACGCGCCTCCTCCCCCGCATCGCCCCCCTCCCCCCCCCCCCGCGACGCGACGCCAGACCGTTGCCCGCCCCCCCCCCTCCCTCTTCCTCTCCTCCTCCTCCTCCTCCTCCTCCTCCTCCTCCTCCTCCTTCTCCCTCCTCCTCCCTCTCCTCCTCCTCCTCCTCCTCCTCCTCCTCCTCCTCCTCCTCCTCCTCCTCCTCCTCCTTCTCCCTCTCCTCCTCTTCCTCCTCTTCCTCCTCCTCTTCCTCCTCCAACCTCCCCGTAGGTCCCCCTTCGCCTCGAGCGTGGGCGGAGGGGCCCCGCCCAGGACTCGGCCTGGGGGAAGCACAGGAACCCCTCGGGCGCCTCGCTCGAGCCGGGCGCGGGCAGCACGGCGGCCCTGGGCCGCGGCCGCCCACAGGATCGAAGGGGGGGGGGGCGGCGGGGGGAGCGATGACGGGGGAGGAGGAGGAGGGGGAGGAGGAGGAGGGGGAGGAGGAGGAGGAGGAGGAGGAGGAGGAGGAGGAGGAGGAGGAGGAGGAGGGGGAGAGCAGGAGGGGGAGAAGCAGGAGGAGGAGGAGGAGGAAGAGGAGGAGGAGGGAGGAGGGCGGGGGGGGAGACATGACAGGGGGGAGAGTCGAGGTCCGTTCGTCAAGCAGTGGCGAAGCGTCCTGGCTCGCCCTATAGCCCCACCAAACAGTGTTCTAAGAGCTTCTTGTGGCTCCCACGGAATGTTCTTAGAACATTTCTGGTTGGGGCTGTCTTATGTTATCACATCGGGTTTATGTTCTAAGAACATTGTTTTGGTTATTAGAACATGTTGGGGTTCTAAGAACATCTCTTGGTATGACTACAGGAATGCCGGGACGGTCGGTCCCTGCTCGAAGAGGGGGGGGCGGCGGGGGGAGAGTCGAGGTCCGTTCGTGGGAGCCTCGGGCGGCGACGGTGAGAGTCAGCTCTGCCTGCACGTGGACCGCATCCGGGCCGCACTTGGGCCCTCCCTCCTCCTGCTCCTCCTGCTCCTCCTCCTGCTCCTCCTCCTCCTCCTGCTCCTCCTCCTCCACCTCCTCCTCCACCTCCACCTCCTTCTCCCGCCCAAATGGTACCCATACATTAATTATCTGCCCATCCTCCCTGCCTGTTTTCCCGTCGCCATTCTGGCTGAAGGAGCTCCTTATTGTTCCCGTTTTAGGCTCGTTTTAGTATCGTTTTACCGCGCTCGCTTATCGCAAGCAACCGCATTCCCCATCCACCTTTCATTTTCCGATAGGTGCGGTATGTTCGCGTCGTGTCGACCAGCGGCGACCCCGCCGCCGGCGTTCTACGCTGAAGGCCGGCTGGCGGCCCAGAGTCGGTCGATGTTGCACGATCGGACGTTTCTGGGAAACGGCCGATGGCTCGGCGTTCAACTATCCCCGCGGCGTCAGGAACCAACGCTTAAGTCGGGCTTGCCCCTCTACAGGAGGAATGTTCAAAGATATTAAAAAATAGTCTGGGGACGATTTGTTCCCTACCTTGGCTCTGCCTAGGAGGGTTCTTACTCTGTTGGTTTAAAGGGGCCGGGCAGTGGATATCTCCCCGGGCGGTTCCCCCGGCATCCGCCCCGCGGTTCCCCCAGTTACGTCCCCTTAGCTTAGCGTTGCTTATATCATCTTAACTTATTTTAGCTTAACTTAGGTTAACTTAGCTTAGCCTAGCCTAGTTTAGCTTAGCTTAGCTTAACTTAGTTTTGCTTAGCCTAGCCTAGCTTAGCTTAGCTTAGCTCAGCGTAGCTCAGCTTAGCTTAGCGCAGCGCAGCATTACCATAGCATAGCATAGCATAGCATAGCGCAGGACAGCATAGCGCAGCATAGCATAGCATCGCATGGCATAGCATCGCATAGCATAGCGCAGCATAGCATCGCATACCATGGCTTAGCTTAGCATAGCACAACGCAGCATAGCATAGTATAGCATAGCATAGCATAGCATAGCGCAGCATAGCATAGTATAACATATCATAGCAAAGCATAGCACAGCCTATCATAGCGCAGCATAACATAGCATAGCATAGCATAGCGCAGCATAGCATATCATATCACAGCCTAGCATAGCATAGCATAGCACAGCATCGCATAGCATAGCATAGCTTAGGTGTAGATGTAGATGTAGATGTGAGTATCGTTGATGATATTGATGTAGATGTAGATGCAGGTGTATATGTTAAAGTAGGTGTATATGTAGATGTTGCTTTCCTAGATGCTCCAACTCCTAGGTAGGGTCGCACTGGGATAATTTTAGCATTAGTTTTGCTATGTTTGATTTGTTTTGCGTGCTCATGACTTTTCGTCCAAAATCCCTTTGTAGGGGGACATGCCCGACCTGAACCAACGCCGGAGTCGGCACGACACGAACCCGGGGCAGGAGGGGTAGGGGGGCGGGGGGGCGTCGGATCTAGCTGGAGCCCCCTGGTCTCATTTTGGGGTCCTGCCTCTGGCCCCTCGAAGCGTACTGCGCGCCCCCTCTCCCTCAAGCAGTGGCGAAGCGTCCTGGCTCGCCCTACAGCCCTACCATACAGTGTTCTAATAACCTTTTGTGGTTTCCACGAAATGTTCTTAGAACACTTCTGGCGGAGACTGTCTTGTGTTATCACATCGGGCTCATGTTCTAAGAACATTGTTTTTGTTCTTAGAACATTTCTGGGTTCTAAGAACATTTCGAGGTAGGACTATAGGAATGCCGGGACGGTCGGTCCCTGCTCAGTCTCCGCTGCTGCCGCTCCCTCGGGCCTCCGGCTCTGTCTCCGGCGCTGCCTCCTCTGCCGGCACGGCCTGCCTCGGACGCCGAAG